GAAAAAAAACTTTTGGAACAAAAAGTTAAAACACAACAAAGGTTAAAATAAATAAAACAGGAGTTTGTCCTAAAACCAAATCCGTTGTAAAGTCGTAGGGAAGCGGGTTGTTCCTTATCGTTTCATTTCTGAATTCTCCCGAGTGGTGCCCGACTTTACACGAGTGAATAAAGTGAATTTTATTGGTCGATTATCAAGGGGGCGGGATTGTTGTGGGGGAAGGTTCGCAAGCAGGTTTGGTTGTGGCCGGTTTGTGGGAAGCATCGTTGCTAACCAGTTAGCATCTTAGTGCTAGCAGGTTCCCAATGGGAAATTCCATTGGGACCAAGCAGCACTAAATTGGTGACTTAGAAACGACGCTGTCAAGGAACGCTATGGACAGCGGAAACATGCAAGAGGAGGAGAGTTTAGTGTCGGAGGTCGTGGATGAGTCTCCTCCGTCATCCATGTTTTATTTAGAGGAGGAAAGCGGGGACGAAGATGTTGTGGAAGAGGACGCCAGGGCGGCAGAAGCTTGGTTTGGTGTAGAAGGCTTCCAGTCGTACATGTTTGAGCCCTTGCCTCGCAACGCTGCCAGTTCTGTTAGCTCTACGCCTGCCGAAGACACAGACGTCCATCCCCGTGAGCACTGGGACGCAACTCAATGGGAAAGGAAAGGATTCTGATTTCAACCGTTGCGTATATTAGCTGCGACATATGAATCAAGATGCTATGACTGAAAACATTTGATTGACAGATGACCGTTGAGATATGATTGGTTGAATTTAGGTGTTCAGGCTGATGAATAACTAACTGGCCTGCAGAAGATAACGGGAAAGAAAACAGATTTTAAAGGAATAGTACACCCAAAACATGATTAGCCTTCATTTTCTACTCACCTCCATGCTGAACAACACTCTGGAGTACTTTTTTGATATCTCAAATGCATCTGGAGATCTGGGAGGCTTCTTGCTGTCTGCTGACATTCAAATAATGGAGGTCCATGGCGCCCGAGACAGAAAGGTCCATAAAAGTCCACAAAAACGTGTCAATATTCCTCCATACTGCTCGTCCAATGTAATCCAAGTGTCCTGAGTGGGTAGCATCCAGAATTTACTCGAAACGAAGTCATTTAGAATGTTTTTAGAGCATAAACAGTAGTGTATAGGATTTCCTAATAGCGCCCCCATGCGAGCTCACGATTCTACGGAAGCCGGCAGACCAAACCAGCGCATTCAGCTCGGCAAAGAACTCATGCTCTTCCTCAACACTGAAGTCCTCAGACATTTTTCTTTCGTTGTTTCTTTCTTTGCACAGGTAAACAGCACATTTCTTCTTCTACGCTTGCATTATCGGCAGACCAGACGCTGAATGCGCACTTTCTTCCGGTTTGGTCTGCCGGCTTCCGTAGAATCGTGAGCGCGCATGGGGGCGCTATTAGGAAATCCTATACACTACTGTTTATGCTCTAAAACGTTCTAAATGACTTCGTTTCGAGTAAATTCTGGATGCTACCCACTCAGGACACTTGGATTACATTGGACGAGCAGTATGGAGGAATATTGACACGTTTTTGTGGACTTTTATGGACCTTTCTGTCTCGGGCGCCATGGACCTCCATTATTTGAATGTCAGCAGACAGCAAGAAGCCTCCCAGATCTCCAGATGCATTTGAGATATCAAAAAAGTACTCCAGAGTGTTGTTCAGCATGGAGGTGAGTAGAAAATGAAGGCTAATCATGTTTTGGGTGTACTATTCCTTTAAGACGAGGATTTTTTTTTTTTTAAATAGAGATTTTCTAACTTTTGTGACAATATAGTAAAAATCGAGTGCAACACAGAGGAGGTGCAAATGAGCTGATGGCGCAGAACGGATCTTGCAGGGGAAAAAACAGCTGCCAGAACGTTGATAATCAGTTTAAAAATAAGAGCAGTAACCATGGAAACCCCTGATGAATGACTAGTCTTACAGATGTAAAGTTATGTTTGCTGTTTGGAACTTAAAATATGAAGGATAAATTTTATATCTATGTGATGTGTATCTACATCAGACAATGGTCATCACAAGGGACGTTAAAAAAAAAGGAAGCCAGTTCAACGTGTCGCGCCAAAGGTTGGCTAGTAGACTCATTACCGCCACCAACTGGCGTGGAGTGTGGATCTGGATACAAATATTACTAAAACAGTAAAAAGAACATTGAAAGGCATCTGAATAATAAAGAATAACTCTGATTTGACACAATTTAACTCTCAGACGTGATGCGCATTAGACATCATCGCTTTGAAACATGAAATATTATAAAGGTCTCCTTTATTTATTATATTAAAAATAAAGCCTGCTGGATTATAGACACGGTTCAACAAACATTAGATGTGGTTAGGGCTGAAACTAAGGATTATTAAGCAAATCAATTAATCTGTCGATAATGTTTTTGATTAATAATCAGATAGACAAAGGTTCATTTAAGATGACTTTTTAGGAAGTTAAACCAGGTGAAACTAAAACTTTTCCACCTGAGGAGTTCTGGATTATAGAGCATATTGACAGATGGAAAATATTTTTATCTTAAATTTTTTTTATAATTTTGATATAATTCCTACTCAAAGTGTGTCACTCTGTCAGCTAAAGGCATATTTTACGTCTCTATACTCAGCTAATGATTAATTGATTACTAAAATAGTTGATTTTTTTTCAACAATAGATAAATCTTGATTAATCTGAATAATTGTTTCAGCCCTAGATGTAGCTTTTGGATTTTTATGACACCTCTGGGCCACCGTAAATGATACGGAAGATTTCAACCTACATTAAAAAATTTCTCAGACCTTTTTTTTTTCTTCCCCAAAATCAGATTTTAGTTTGTCTTTTTTTTTTCAGATTATATTTTTCCAAGTTTCCTTTTAGGAGACTTAGTTTTCTAATTTGCAAACATTTCAAATGAATCTACTTTTCTTGAACCTCAGTCAGATAATTTCTATCGTTCTGCACTCAGACCTCGCAGAATCGTTGAGGTTGAAATCTTTCAAACAGGATTAGAAACGAATGCAGATTGAAAAACTAATTCTCATCCCTAAAATAAAATCTGAAAATATATTTGAAATAAGATTTAGGAAAAAAAAAAGTAGACTGTAGAATTGGGGGAACTTTTCTTAAAAATTATAAATTACTCTTAAAACCTTTTTTCCATTTTTGAAAAACATTTTCTTCAAATTTCCTTTTTAGAAAAATCTTTCTGCTTTCACTAAAATGGGAATAAAATGATCTTCATGCATGGATGAGGTAGTGAAGAGACCAGGAGCCCCTTCTTATTGGAAATGTAATGCGTGGAGAAGCTCAGACCTAAAAACATTGTGAGACATGGTGGTGGCAGCATCATGCTGTGGGGAAACTTTTCATTAGCAGAAAATGGAAATCTGGTCAGAGATTGGACATCCAACGTAAACTTTTTTTTTTTTTAGATCTGTAATAAATATGTATACATAGTTACTAATGTATATATTTATCTTTTTAGTGTTGAAAGTTGTATTTTATTTCTTTAGATGGTGAATGTGTTTTATGTTGTTTGGATACCTGGAGCGTGTGACAAAGATCATTTCTCCCTGGGATCATTAAAGTATTTCTGATTCTGATCCAGCTTGAGATTGAATAATCTCAAAAGTCCAGACCCAAAGTTTAATGAGAACATTTAAAAAGAATCCACAGATGCTGTTCATCCACTGGGACTATGAGGTCCACCTCCATGTTTTTAAGTGAAAGGTGAAGAAGACCTTTGACCTTTTAAGGTTCAAACTGAGCCTCAGAATCAGGGAGAAAAACCGCAGATGTTCCTCTGAATGTTCAGCAGCTGTTTGTCAAAAAGACCAGAATCTGTCATTAAAGCCACGAGACAAAGACTGCAGGTGGTTCTGAGATTAAACGGGGGTTAAGGTTGTCGGCACCTTTTCATTGGTTTTATTCCCTGGATTTACTGGCAGCTGCTTGGTGCCTCACCCATCGTTCTGTTTCAGGACGGCGACCTTTCCAGAAACATGCCGGGGAAGGTAAAGGTGTCGGCTCCGAACCTTCAGGCCGCCAAGAAGAAATGATCAGCAGATCCACACTGGCCAAGTTCTGTTTTCACTGGTGGAATAATAGTTTGTTTTCTTTCAAAAGATTGTTATAAATTCATTTGCCCAAAAAAACAGAGACTTTTTTTATTGTGTGTTTTTTATTTGAATACAAACTTCGATTACAGACGAGTAATTTTGTGCAAACAAGGCGAATACAAACAAAGCCCAACAGAGAGAACTTTCAGTGCAACGCGGCTCGACGTCCTTCAGGGTCGCCGGTACCGATCCAATCAGAATGCTACAGCAGCCGCTTTGTGACCATAAAGGCTTTAAACACCAACATAAATACAGATGAACACAAACAGGAGGCTCATTTCCGTGGATCTGGACCGGATGGCATTTAAAGCAGAAATCACTGCTTAGAGCTGAAGCTAATTAGCATCAATCAGCTAGCTGGTGCATCATTTACTCCCCTTTCTATCCAAAATAGATGATCACTTTTATTTATTAGTGTCAAGACAAACATTGGAAAGCTAATTCAATGTTTCATCGATGCAGTTTTCTTAGCTAGTTTCTCTTTAACTTAAAACACTTTTTCCAAAACAACAAAGAGAATCTGCTCCTGGTTTCCAATCTGCTGAGGCTCCGCTCGGCTGGTTAAACAGCCTGCAGGTGCGTTTTTAAAGGGTTCAGCTCGTTTTCCCTCCCTCTGCAGTTTGAATTTTGTTTCACAGTAATAATTACAGAAGCTCCAGTGAATAAGGTCTACCTACGGGAGCTAAGCTGGTCGGATCAGGAAACACCACAGGTCACTTCTTTATGTCATAAAGGGAGACCAAAATAAACAGCTGTGTTTTTTAAAGATAATATACAACTTAATGTGAAACTGGAGCATTTAATCTATAAATCTTGAACGGTTTGATTAAAGCATCGCTTTCCAGACAAACTTGGTGAAAGAATTTGAGCTTCAAAACGTCTTCGCTTCTTTCTATGACTGTTTGCTGAAGGAAGCTGTCGGGACGTTAAATTATCTCCACAGCAGCAGAATCGGCTGTTCTGTGGAAGTTCTGAGGTTTTTAGTCTTTTTAACTCGGTCAGAGCTGCTGCCACCTAGTGGCCTGAGCTGGGCGCTTCCATCCTGGTGACAGAATGATTATTTACATCCAAAGGATCTGATCCCAGACCAGGCCTGATCAGCCATGTCCCAACAGCTTACTCCATCCTCAGGGCCAAATTGCTAACTCTTCCACACTTTGCCTCTCATTTTAATTCAAGTTTTCACATTAAAGACCAGCCAGAACTATCGGCGTCTCATCCTGTGGTCGACCTCCAGTCCTAAGAGCCCAGAGTGTTGACCCGCGACATTCTCTGCTTGAGGCTGAGCAGGAGGTGTTTCGGCAAGCAGTCCCAGTGACAGGACAGCCTCTCCCTGTGCTGCAGAACCGTCTCCATACAGAACCTGGGGACCAGAGGGGGGCGGGGTTATAAAAGCCTCCAGCTGTACAGAGAAATCCATTTCCTGCTTCACTACAGACTCACCGAACCAGCGATTTGGGCTGGACGTTAAAAATCAGCAGCTCGTTGCTGTGAGCCTGTAAGAAACGGAAAACCAAATAAGAAGCAGGAACGCGAAGCAGTGCGTGATTCTGACGTGGCGCTCACCGCTCTCTGATGAGACAACAGGTTGTTAGCACAGCCTCCGAACACAAACACCTCTCCGTCCGGTCCGGAGCAGGCCGTGTGCCACAGCCTGAAGCACAGAGGGACCGTCAGCCGGAGGAAGAACATCAGCACGGCTTCACAAAAAGACGGGACATTTACCTGGGGCTCTCCGTGTGGCTGTGCTTGAAAGGCTTCCATTCGTTCCTGCTCACGCAGTAGAGCCAAGCATCATCTGGAACAGCAAAGAGGAGCATTTCTGCAACGAGCGCAGCCATGAAACCGTCGCAGAAACACCGACGCCACGCCATAAACTCACTCAGTGTTTCCCTCTCTGTGGTGAAACCTCCAAACAGGAAGATGTGATCTGATGAGACCGGAGTAAAGGAGTGCCAGGATCGGCCCACGGGCCCCTGCTGAGGAACGCTCCTACAGGAACACACACAGACAAGCTATGGGGTCAGATCACAGCCAAAAAAATTTACATCAATAAACTCAAGGTTTTTATTTTATCATTGTCAGCTCATTATTACACGTAAATCCATGTTTCATCTGTAAATCAGGTTTTTAAAACTTTGTTTTCCTGCTGATTTAAAATGGTCTTCTGTTTGTCTTTCGCATAAAATCCAAAGAAAACTCAACAAGGTTTGTTTTTAAAATAATTAAACAGGAAAAGTTTAAGGGGTAAGAATGTTTCTGTTCACACTTTATATTATAGATGATTATTTGTCATCCTTTATAATAACCCTGCAGCCTGTTGGTCGCTTCAGTAAACTGACCTCCGTTCTGATCAAACACAGCAGGACTTTTTAGAGATTTTCAATCTGTGAGATCCAGAGCTTTGATCAAAGTCAGGAAACTTACATTTCATGCCACTCCCACGTCTCCAGGTCGATGTAGTACAGATCATTTAGTCTGTAGTTCTGGACATAAAAAAAAAACATGTCATTTCCCATCTGCAAGCTTCCCAAAACGCTATTATTTTAAGCCTCAACATTATTTAAACACAATTTTTATATTTTCATTCAATTAAGTCTAAATAGATTGTCTAAAATCTAAAGTAAAAACTGTCTAAAAAGGTCGGTTCAAATGTTTCAGAGGATAACAGAAAATAGGAAGATTTTATTTAACAGATTCTCAGACATGGAAAATAATCTGCACAGATATGGGGTGTATTATGTTCCATTATTGCTGCAAATAACACGTTTTGTAAATTGATATTTCAAACAATTAAATCTGAAAAAGTAAACTTTAAAAAACAAATATATATATATATTAAAAAGGTTTTAAGAGTAATTTGGTTGTTTTCTCATAATACTTTATTTTTTCAAATTTAAAAAATTCCTCGCTATCACAGTTTTATAAAATTGCTTTTTACAGATCACATTCTGTTTACGTCAAACCAAATCCAAACCCTCGTTCTTAACCAATGAAATATTTTTGCCAATCTCCATCCAGAAAAAAACGGAATGTGAAGAACAAAATCTGTAGAAAATATTTTTTTTTTTAAAGAAAAATAGAATTATAAAATGTAAAATCTACAAAACCCATTTTTTTTTTTTTTTTTACTGAGTTTTTCAAAGTTTCATTTTGTTTGTTGCATATTTTTCAAATTTCCATTTACAACCCAATTTTTTGGAACAAAGTTCCCTCCGTATACAGGAACCAAAGCTTTGTTTACCTTGAATCGGCCACCGAACACATATCCTCTGTTTCCGACTGTAGCGCAGGCATGAGCCGCTCTGGGGGACGGCGTGTTTCCCTGAATACGGACAAACCAAAGGAAAATTATTCTTAATGCACCTTTTTCCTCCTTGTTTGCACCTGCTTTGACTTCTATGCCAATATGTGACGAGTGAATTTCTCTGCTGTGAGATCAATAAAGCTCATCTAATCTAAAACAAACATGAATATAATTGCATATTAAACCATCATCATTCTCAAGTAAAGACTAAGACATTTATCAAGAAAAACAGTTAACAGTGGAAGAACATGAAGTAAAGAGAATTTTTTTTTTTAACAGATTTTATATTTTCAAATTTTATTTGTTCAAGTTTCATTTCCCCCCACTTTTTTTCTTTTTACAGTTTTAACATTTTTAATTTTTATTGAGCTATTTTAAATTTAATTTTTAAGATTCAGTTTCAAGAATTGCGTTCTTTTTAAATTGCATGTAACAGATCACATTCTCTCTGCTTCTGGGGGCGGGCTTTCCTCTGTGTAGAGAAATAAAGGAAATGTGATCTATTAAACATAATTTGAACAATAAATAAAAAAAGAAAGAAAATACAAAGTGTTTTTAAATAAAAAGAAAAAAATGTGGGGAAACGGGCAAAGTTTCTTTTTTTTCCAAATAATGTTTTGTTTTCAACAATAATGGAACTAAATTGACTCCATAGAAATCAGACCCCACCACCTCTCATCTGCTCCAGTTAAACCCCCCATATCCTGTGTTGCATCACAGGTTGTGCAACAGTTTTACACATCGGACCACTGCCAACATAACGATCGTATCTGCTGCCTCCTTAGTGAAGCTGAACGGCTGTTCTCACCTGGGTGATGGGCTGACTCCATGTTGAACTCTCCAGGTCCAGAACATGGACGTGGTTGTTCCAGCCTCGCCCAGGGCTGTCCCACTGCACCAATGAAAAAAAAGAAAGAGACGTGTCAATATTTAAACACAAATCCTGCAAAGAAATTTGTTTCTGATTTTATATTTATAAATAAAACCACCTAGAACCCAATTATTAAAAGAGAGAAGCTGTATGATGACGTCCATAAACCAGAAGCAATATTAAACAGACCATCAGAGAGGATGATTCATCGTAGTGAAAAGTCCCTCGATGAGATCCTTGTGGCGCATAGCCGTACCCGCCAAAGAAAATCAATCTGGAAATGGAAACAATCACATCATTAAAAGAAAAATCTGATTTATTACCCTGCTAACTGTTTTATGTTATTCCTTCATCAGAATCAGACAGGAAGTGGGATTTCAATTGATTTATAACTTGGTGTCTTGTAAAACAATGACCGCCCTGACTCCTAACCCAGGGGTCAACAAGATTATTTAATACATATTAGGGCTGCAACAATGAATCGATAAAAATCGACTTTTAAAAGCGTTGGCAACGAATTTCATCATCGATTAGTTGTGTCGCGCGATTAATGGTCATCCACCGCCGTCGCCATCACTGCCACTTGATTGAAACGGGGGAAGAAAAAAAAATACGGCAGAGCGAGCCAGTGCCGCAGGTGAGCAAAGGCTGTTTTCAAAAGGCAGAAACGTCAACTGTTCTAATGACCGATAGCGCAAACGCAAGCTGCGTCTCAATTCGCAGACAGCCTGCGCTTTGTAAAGCGAAAAAAGTCGTAACATGCAACTTTTGTAAAAAACAAATTAACATAACACGGAAGCACCACTGTTATGACGCAGCACCTGAAAAGAAAACACGTTGGAGCCTTTGATGGCAGTGAAGAGAGCTGATCAGCAGGATGAGCTGCCATGTTTGTTTGGTTTTAAAGTGGGGAAACGTAACATTAGTTTCTCAGGTAGCTCATCTGATGCTTTCCTTACCTTGTTAGTAGGTTACAGACAGTGATAAGGTTGGCTACTTATTTTACTTTTAATTTCATTTGAATTAGCTTAAGCAGCGTTTATATTTTCTTTATAAATAAATTAACTTGCAAATTATGAGGGCAAGGCTTTTAAAGTTTAAATCTTCTGGCAAAGATAAAGTAAAGAAGATCCTGCAATTTATGGAAGTAAAGCAGAATAAAATCCAGCAAGATCAGTAATATGTCAATTAATTATCTCCCACATTCCCATGTAAATATCTGTCTTTGGAGGATGTGTTTTTTAGCACCCCTAGTTCTCTCATTTTTATTCCAAATACAATTTATAATTTGAATCACAGGGCTATTTTTATCTCTATGGTTCAGTATTTTCTCAAGTAGCAACTTTAACTGCTATACTTTCCTGTCTTAAAAGGCAGAACTCTCTAGTCTAAAAAAAACCTCATTTGTTGAAATGGGGGGGCCTATTGTTTGAACCCCTTAGGGGCTTTTAAAAACAAAAATGTCTTTTTTTGCACTTTATAAAACAAAGTAGCCTATATTTTGTGGATGTACAGCAACATTTCTCATGTAAGTTTGCGTAGTTTTAACACAAACATTTATTTTTCATATTGCACCAGGACAGTTAATGAGCAACCTGTACTTGTGTGCTTGTTTCTTCTGTCTAAAATGTTTATTTTGGAATAAAGAGTTTAATATAAAAAATATTTTTTGTCCGATTCATCGATTAATCGAAAAAATAATCGGCCGATTCATCGATTTTTAAAATAATCGTTAGTTGCAGCCCTAATACATATACAGTATGAAGCGTTACTTAAAGAGTTTGTCCCGAGTGATCTCTTCTCAGGAAAAGAAGCAGAGACAGAAAGCTTCAAGATGTTGACACAGAGCTTTCCATTTCACTTGAAAACAGGTTCTCTCCACTCGGTCTGATTGAGCCTGTAAATGTTCATAGCTGGTAGAGACAAAGCAGCTGCAGCTCTGGATGCTTCTACCGAGTATAACTAATTACAGTCACATTTTTATCATTATTTTAGTTTAGTTTTATGGTTAACATTATCGTTAACCATAAAACTTTCTTCTACGGCACAATTATAAAATACTAGCAGCTGGTCAACCAGTGAAAGCCATTAGAGGCGCCGTGTGTGTAACCAATTTGGGAATTTAATTAGAAAGATTGCTTTCATAAATACATATTTTGTGAAAATCTAACGGCATGACATTAAAAAATAAAACAGTTTTTATAGCTTAGAATTAGTAGTTTATAAATACATAAGGGGCGGTGCATTCAATTTATCTGCATATTTCATTAGAGTAGCTGAGAACGTGTTGGTGGAGGAGGAGTTTAAAACAAGCAAAAACAACCGTAGATCATTTTACCTTCTACCATCCAGCTAACATTAGCTTTTTAGACATTTTATGCTATCTGTACCATCTGTAAGCTTGGTCCAATGAGAGGAGAGAGAAGCGAACCAAGCACACTGGACAGGTACAGGTCTGTGTAATTCATTCAATGCACCACTAGATGGAGCTAAATGCCTTTAAGTTGATAACATGGCCAAATGGTGAAAGGTTGTTCAAGAATAAAAGCTTCACCTGTTCTTATGGACCCAGCATCCCAGCTTGTCCTTGGAGGACGGGGGGAGTCCTTTAAGATCCCTCATTTCCTCCCACACCAGACTGGGGGCCCTCAGAGGCAGACGGTAGATCTTAGATAGAGAGCATGAAAGGCCATCAGAACAAATGGAGCAAATCATCTTCCATTACTTTTGCAAACTGTAAAAAATTTTTAATAAAAAGCTGTTGAGAGTAACTTTGCCTTTTCTCAGGTTTGATTTCTTAGAATTACTTTTTTATATTCAATATTCATATAACTCCTGGGGGCGGGCTTTCCTCTGGAGTGAGGAGCTAGAACACATTTCTATCGGCAGCATGTTTATTGGTCAAGAGAGAGTTTGTTTTGGGTTCGAAGTAAAGAAAATGAGCAAAAAACTGAGAGGAATGCTAATTTGTAAAAGACAATCTGAAAAAGTTTAATCTGAAAAAAATAAAATAAAACAATAAATATTGGAAATGTAAAATAAAAAAGACACATTTGGAATATGTATGTCTTTTTCATTCAAAGAAAATCTTTGAAAACACGCTTGGAACAATAATGGATTAAATTTCACTCCATAATTGACACGTTTATTTCATGCAAAAGGAAATCAGCTACCCTGTTTGTGTTTCCTCTGGCATGATGACCCCCGAACAGGTAGAGGACTCCATCCAGACACGTCCCACAGCTGCCCGACATCGACGTGTGCAGATTACCTGCGGCTACATGCTTCATCCTGTAGACCAGAGCAGCAGCTGTTTGTAAAGTGTACCCATGCAGAGGAGGACAGAGTAACCAGAGATTCCTCACCATACTCCTGACTCCAGGTTGTAGGTCCAGACCTCATTTCTTGGCAGGTATAAATCAAAGAATCCATGATTTTGGCCATTCTTGTGAAGAAAGAGAATACACATAAGAAAAAAAAAAACAGAAATAATGGCAGAAATATAATAAAAGTAAGCAGCTCTCACCTTGTACCCTCCCCAAATATACATGATATTCCTATCAACTACAGCTATGTGACCGCTGCGCTCAGCCGGGGAGTCCAGCTCGAATGATTCGGACGCTTCGGTGTCCACCGGGTGTTCGACGACCACCTCGATATCGTCTTCATCCTCATCCATGTGCTGGTTATCCAGCCAGAACAATATCTCATCTTCCTCTTGGTCTGAGTCGTCGGCGTCTCTGTCGGGCAGATCTGCTGCGTCCTCCTCCATGTCTACGTCTCTCTCTGCCATGTCAGCTTCGTCACAAAGGAATTCAAAGTTTGCCCTGATGGAATGGAAAATTTATTATTTTCTGACATTGTTCCATTTATTATCCCTCCTATTTTTTTCCTATTTGTTATTAAACAATATCAGAACTTAATGGAAGATACCGACACACAGTATTACTTTACAGCTTAAAATGCTCTGATTTCTCATAGAAACATAATGTAAACATGCTGGTGAAGATTCTTAGTCATCCAGCTCATAGTAATTCCAAAAAAATTTAAAATCAATCCACTGGACTTTGTTTCCAAGTTTGAAGACGTTTCTCTTCCCTTCCAGGAAGCTTTTTCAATTCAAAATGTCAGAATTAGCATTAAGTTAGAGGCTTTGTATAATGTAAACATATTTCCAACTAATGCTAACTGCAAGCTATTGATTAATGCACTCTATAATTGTATCATTTTTGAAAACAAACTTTCTTTTTTTGCACAATACGTAGCGTAAAATGTCTAACAGCTCAGGTAGCCATCCTGTGTCTGGCAGAGTAACAGACGCGTTGGGACTGAAATAATTATTCATAATCAATCGGTTACTGAAATAATATTTAATCTTGCTAAAATCCAATGTTTAACTAAAAATAAAGAGACTCTAAAAGTAGCCATGCTAAGAGAATAACTTGTTAACTCTACAAATATAAACTATGTTTACTTTTTAAAATAAATAATCACATGTACACTTTTTATGTTATGCAATTAATTTTGTGTTCTGCTGCTATAGGCTTAGACTGCTGGAGGACATAGGGACCCCTATTTCATCATTCTGCTTCATTCTATCTCTATTCTCCCACTCTGCAGAATCTGTTAGTTCAATCTCTAACGTTCTGCTCTCTCTGCTTTTTCTCATAGTAGCTTCATCTGGTCTGTTCCTGTTTGGCTGTGACTCCATTCTGGAGAGAAATATCAGCTGTGCTGCTGCCATCAACACCTTTGTTTATAGATGTTGGAGCTTGGCCTGTTTTCCAGTGTAGTCCTGTTTCTCTGACTGTGACTAACTGGATGTGCTCTCTTCATCCTCTGACATGGGAGCTGGCTCGGAGCTCATACAAGTGGAAAAAGTAGGCTATCGCTACATAATGTGGCACTGAGCTAATGATTTTTTTTTTTCTGTTGCCAACAGTCATTGGATCTAAGGCACAAATATATTTACAGGTTTGCTGTTGCACCAAAAATGTGCATCATTTATTTATTGTGTTATATTCATTTTTACAGTTTGAAGTTAAGCAGGACAGGATTATGTTTAAAATACCTATTTTATTCAGCAAAGTTTGTTATTTTATATCAAAGTGAATTGCTGCATAATAATGTGTTTTCCATGTGTTCCTGTCAGGAACAAATATGCATCTAATTCAATGCAGATTTGAGTCAAAAAGTAAAAAAAAAAAAGTCATTTCACACACAAAGGGGACTTAAAAAAAATCCCCACCCCATGAGGGATGAAGGCAATCATGAGGGGTCCTTTTTTTTCCCCCCAGATAGTTGGCTAACCTGAGTTTGAGGCGGTTGGACATTTAAACCAACGGTTTTGGCAGTGGCTTGTTATTTTTTATTTTATTTTATTTATTTCTTTTTTTAGTCCTTTATTTAACCAGGACTGAGATTAACAATCTCTTTTTCAATGGAGTCCTGGCCAAGACAGCGACAAAAGATTACATTACAAATTACATTACAGTTTACAATTACATCTACTTATAATTAGAAATTCATAAAACAGTTACAAACCATAGATCTCGTTATTAAAGTCTGAAATGCTCTTTATTTGGCACAACACGGAATAATGTCTACAAAGTTAACAGCTTTCATAATTTGTCAGAAGGAATTTATGCTGCATCAACCAGAAATTGAAGAAAATTTTTATTTTTACGCAAATTTAGTTGATTTTTAAGGGAAACATTGTTAGCTAGCAGCGGCTACAATAACAACTAACCTACTTTCAAAGCTCCAATAATGAAAAAAGGAGAACGTCCTCTTTAGCTGCAAGGAAATGTAATAAAAGAAGTAAAAAAAATAAAAAATAAACCCAGTAGTTTGAAGTTTCTCTATGTTAGACCGAATAACTCGAGAAAATGGTCATTTTCTGTGCTGTTAGCTTTGCACCTTTCAAACACTTAGCATCAAGCTAAGCTCACATTAGCCTTGTCTTTCTAGCTTATTTTTTAATAACGCCTCTCAGTCCTGCTGAGTCTGCATGAAAAATGGGGAATAAACTTACCTTTGAGGTGCTAAGCAAACTGAATATTCAAAACAATCCTGAGTCTGTAATCCCACGGAAGGAAAACAGGAAATGACGTATTTTTAAAAGCGGAAACGAGGCTTCGCAGGGCCTCAAATTCCTGGAGCTACAAAAACATTTAGAACATCTAAATTTAGGCTGTCTTTATCTTTTGTTTTATTTTTTCGGCGAAGCTCCTACATACGAGCCTTAAAAAAGAATAAGAGGAAAGAGTGTTTCAAAATAAGAGTAAAAATTATATAAATTCTTAGTTAGTTAGTCCTTAGGGAGGTCTACTCATGAGAATCAGCGTATTTGCTGCCTCTATGACGTCACACATGAAAACAGGGCGTTTAAGGAAGTGCTTACCATTACGCTTTTAACACTGATTTAAACAAGCAACATTATTGGCTTTTACTTTGAATTTATGGGCTGCATTGACTGGATGCTTTGAGGTCCTGAAAATAAGGAGACCGGAAGAGTTTTTGCTGTGAATTCAAACAGGTCCAGCCTTCCGCGGCTTTTACCGCTGTACACTCTGTCGCTTAGCAACCGTGGCAGTTAACACACAGAGCAGGAAAAGAATGAATACCAAACTTTTTAATTTCTTTTTTATTTTTATTTTATTGTAGAGTGAACAAAGACTCATGAGAATCCAGAGTGGAATAAAGGTTCCAACCTCTGGGAACAGGAACAAATAAAATCAAATGTAATGATAGAAACCTTAGTCAGTTAAATAAAATGCTGCTGTCATTTTGCACATCTCTGATGTTGCTGCTATTTTTAAATATCCATTACTGTATAAAATTTTCATAGCTGTTGATTGGTTATTTATTCTCCAGGTGCACAGTTTTATATTGTTAAAACACTTTAAATTTCAGTATTTTAGCGTTTATGTTTTAACTCTTCCCTATTATGTTATTCTTATACATTTTTCTAAGGTCCACATTTGTGTGACCATTTTCAATAATCTTTCTGCTGCTGTAAATTTGCCCATTGTGGGACAATAAAGGGATTTTCTATTCTATTCTGTTATATTCTATAAAAAGGGTAGAAATATAAAAGTAAATCTTAACAATGCATGTATAAAAAATATATCTACAAAATCTCTTAATATTCAACAACAAAAAATACTTATTAAGGCAAACTGTGCAAAATAGCAATAAAAAATAAAAATCAGATTTATAGTCCCCACCCTGCAGATATATTAGAATCTGTCCTTAAATTCCAGCCAAACCCATTTACACAGTAACAGATAAAAACCTTTAGATAAATTAAACATTACCGCCACATATCTGACTTAATAACCATTGAAACAACTATTTTCATTCATTTCAGACGGAACTATTCAAACTTATGTTTTATTATAAACTGAACTTCCAATATTCACCACTGTTTGGCAACATTTATCTTTTTCCTCTGATCACAGAGCAGCCGGCTTGCTTGGTCTCGCGATGGAGAGGATACATCAGACCCGTCCTTCAAATCGGGCAAAAAGGAGGACGCATTTTAAGGTCGCATAACGAGGACTCTTGGAATCCGACCAGACCTCGGCGTAATCGGCCTTCAAATCTGGCCTTCTGAGGACGCGTCCCATGAATTGGAACAGAGCCATTATTTGAGCTTTCCTAGTGGTTTCACTGTTATTAAATGTTTTTAATAAAGGTAGCCTCACTGAGACACAGGTTATAATTTACGCTTACAAAGAGCTTAAAAATGCACTAATCCTAGTTTACATAAATTCTAAATAATAAAAACTGTTTAACCTTGTAGGAGCCATTTGTCCTTTCCTGTGTTTATCGCCACCAGGGGGCGTATTTCATTTTGAGTTCTGATAGTTTGATGGGGTTATTTAATGTCAACCAGGTTCAGGTGTTAATTAGAGGAGGCAACAGGTTTCTAGTGTGTTTGGTTTAGATTCATGTTGAATTTATGAATTTATGTAAAGGCAATTAGTAAAACTATGGACCTTGTTATGTTAATAAATTACATTATTTTAAGCAGAGGTGGAAAAAGTACCAAAATATGATACTCAAGTAAAAGTACCAATACTTGGCTGAAACTCAAGTACAAGTAAAATTACCCAACAGAAAAATTACTCAAGTAAAAGTAATAAGTAGCTAATTTAAAATATATTTTAAGTAAAAGTTACTTAGTTACATAAAAACAAAACAAAAAAAAAACTGTTGAACGGGGCTTGGCAATGAATTAAAACTTCCAATTTTTCTTTTGGGACGTTGGCAAGGCGGTAGCGTGAGTTTGGCGAGGCGGCTGCCTCACCAAGATAGTGCTGCGGGAAACACTGACTTAAATGAAATACTTCATTTTTTTTTTTTTTTAGCAATTTATTTTCCCAAGCCACTCAGAGCTGCAGTATAAGGATGAAAGAGCCGCATGCGGCCGCAGAGCCGCGGGTTGCCGACCCCTGTGCTAGACAAAATTAGCAATGCCACGAAACAGGTTGTTTTGCTAATTGGCTATTAGTCATGAAAACTTTGTTTGAAGTAGAGACTGACATTTTTTCGGGAATCCCGTGGGATGGGAGTCAGTATTAGGCCCCGTCCACACGAAGTCAAAACGAACACGAAACGCTAATATTTTCCAGAACGTTTGTCGTAAAGACGGAGACGTAAAATAAATGTGATCGACCACACGAATGCATGAAAACGCTGCAAAATGTATGCCAGGCCTGTAAGTGGCGCTGTGGTGCCAAAGCAAAAATAGGCGACGAAATGTTGGGCATGCGCACTAATATTTATACATGGTTGCCCTGCTGGTCCATTTTCGTGGTTCAGTCAAATTCAGGTGCTGAACTATGTTGTCGATATTGCTCTGTTCTTCCTGGAGATATTCCAGAAGAAGAAGATTCTGTTGTAAGCCCGACAGCAGGGTGAGTAGCATGAGCAGCAACCATTCAACACAGTACGGCGCCATTGTTGTTGTGATACTGTGTCGCGCATGCGTGTTTACAGGCGACGCTATGACGCATGCGTGTAAAAAAAATGCGGTTAGAGCTTAAAGATGGAAACGCGAAAACGGCGTTTCAAAATCTTCCCACTCTGAAGGCTGAATAAAAAAAAGATCGTTTACAGACCCCGAAATGCCGGCTTCGTATGGATGAGAGGCTGGTTTGGTGAAAAATTTGTGCGTTTAGGCCAGGGTTTGACTTCGTGTGGACGGGGCCTAAGTAACGATCACGTGATTGGGACGGTACAGGATTAAACATTAATCCTGAATTTAAATGAAAAGCAGTCTTTCAAATGTGGCCAAGGATTTTCTTCGTTTTGGGCAGCAGAATTCGACGTTTGGTAAATGGCATGTACTTATATAGCGCCTTTATTCAAGTTAGGAGACTTGACCAAAGCGCTTTACACTACATTCATTCACCCATTCACTCACACACTGATGGTGGCAAGCTACATTGTAGCCACAGCTGCCCTGGGGCTCACTGACAGAAACGGGGCTGCCGTACACAGGCGCCACCGGGCCCTCTGACCACCATCAGTAGACAATGCAGGTGAAGTGTCTTGCCCAAGGACACAATGACAATGAAAGTCGGAGTCGGGGCTTTAACCGCCAACCCTTCGATTTCAGGGCAAACTCCTACATCCAACGCCACTGTCGCCCCTGTTTCAGCTAGCATTGCTAGCGAAACGTTCTCTGAACCGTCGTCGCTCTCCTGATCCACCTCCATCTCGTTCCCAATCTCCTACAGACAGACTTGAACGATCGACATGATAATCTTAATTGAGCACACGTAAAACAAACCTTTCAGGAATAGCTACCAGCAGCATAAAATATAGGATTTTAGCCGCTACAAACATTTAGCGAATGAAAACCGGGTGTTTGATGTGTGAAGTTAGGATAACATAGTGATGTCTGTTTCTGTATAAAGGGTCTGTTCTATGTGTTGTCTTCTCATTTCAGAGGGCCCCCTGCCTGTCTTTGCCTAGGGCCCCAAATGTCCTAAATCCGCCCCTGCCTAGTACGATGATATAATTAAAGTTATGATAGGTTATATTGTATTATTTCATATCTATTTTTTAGATACAGTCAATAAATAATTTAAAGCTATATTATAACATGAACATTTATGGGAAAATGTGAATGAAAACGCATGTGGACAAGGAATTTAAATCATATTTTAAAAACAGTAAATTAACTAAGAGTCAATTTGAAATTAACTTTAATTTAAATAAGTTGAGCAATAACTGAGAGGAACGAGAAAATGTCAATAAAAACGCTACTCTATAAAATATAATATAAAAATACTCAAACTCAGCGCTAATTAATTGTGACATTTTGAATTGAAAAAGCTTCCTGGATGAGAAGCAAAATGTCTTCAAACTTTGAAACAAAGTCCAGTGGATTGTTTTTTTTTTTTTACTTTTTTGGGATCCCACAGCATAATACTGCCACCCCTGTACCTACAGAATGTGATGGTGTTCCTCCAAATGTGAGAGAAAACATTGTTTTTTTCTTTTTTGGACCGACTATGACCTTGATGACTGAGAATCTTCACCAGCACATGTTGTGGGATTGGTTTGTTCCAAAAGGGACGGATTTACTTTAAGGCACCGCTAATAGCAAAATGGAACTGACATTTTTAAACTCGGCTAAATTCTTAAATGAAACATCAAGACAGTCAGGAAGATAAAGCCTCGACACAAATGTTTTTCTTTTCCCACATGGAGAACGAAAAAGCACACATCAGTTAGAAAGTGTTGATTAGTCAACAAGTAGGTGAATTTTAACACCCCGATTGTTTATTTCCCCTGAAAACTGCTTTTTCACCCCATCAAATACTCCAAACCAACACACACAAATGAGTGGTTATGTACAAAGAATAAAACTTTTATTTAAGACAGAAAAAACTTAAATAAAAGCAGGTATTTAATAACTAATCACATCAAACACATTATTTTACAAAGGGATTCTACAGAGGAAGGGGAACGGAGGAGCAGGTCCAGGTCTTTCTCTAAAGGCCTTGTAGTTTGCTGTGAAAACAGAAACACACATATTACTCACAGACATGAGCCTGGAAGGACGCTTAGCAACAGGAAGAAGTGTGTCCTACCTGTCCTCCACAGTTCTGTTGGACGGGTAATACACCTTGAAGGTGAAGCCGCTTCTAGGAAACGAGCCCTGAAGAAACGACGACCAATAAAAACAAAAGGTTAAATTCTAACATCGTCAGGTTCTGTCAAAGGACAGTTTCCTGGGCTCATTTCATACCGGGTTGACACACAGGCAGTCGGTGCTGCTGATGGTGAACGGGTCGTACTTGTCGGCAAAGACGATGACATCAGGCACGGGGTAGACTCGCAGGGCGTAGTCATAGGCCCAGAAAACAGGGCTGACGTAGAGCGGCAGAGGAGTCAAATGTCCCTGAGACAGGATGGTCTTCACAAACTGGAGAGAAGGACGACACGGAGCGGAAGGTTTCACAAATACACCTCAGCTTGGTCTAAAAGTATTCCAACCCCTTGATATTTGTGTTGCACCGATGCCATTTTTGACCCAGATACCGATATCTGATACCTGGCTGTGCAGAATCGGCCGATACCATCTGTTTGAAATTGATGTTTATATATGAAGAACTGCAGAATACTTGGATGTAAAATAATTACCATCATGGCTTCATGTCAAGCTGCTGCCTGCCTTTGTGAAGCAGGAAAAAGAATACCATATTTTCACGACCATAAGGCGCACCGTACTAAAAGGCGCAGTCTCAGTTATGTGCGCCATTACTGTATTTAACACACACATATGGCGCACCGGATTTTATATACGGTACATATCCTCTACTGCGTATTTAAAAATAGAGCAAAACTGAGTATCTTTGTGCTTTATTCATGTATTTATTACAAAGTATTAATCAAACCTAGGAGCTGGCAGAGAGACAGACACATCGCTGATGACACAGAGCGCTATGATCACTCCTCTGAAACAGTTTATTGACGCATAAATTAACTTAAAATGCTGAAATCTGCCTGCAGAATATGTTCGCTTTTATTATCCTGCTGCCTGCAGTTTAGATTATTTAGATGAAAAACACCTACCAGCCGCCGCGGTGAACCGCGAGGAGGCGACCCGGCCAGAGGCTGCTGTTGAAGGGATTCCTACTGACAGCGCAGCGCTGGTATGGAAATAACATTGGAAGGCAGGATGGTAATCTGGATGAACTGACTGCAATGATTAAGTTTTCAGGTGGATTTTCTCACTTAAAAACATAATAAAACTACTTTATTCCCACTGATCACAGCAAATATAGCTGCAAGGCAGAGAAAGGATAGTGAAGCTCCGCCCAACGCGCGTCAGACACACTTTTGCACGTGCAGCCAGAGCAGCAAAGCTGCTTCAGCCGCGCGTCAGAACTAACTGGTACAAGCAGCAAAAATGAAGCAGCAGACGCGATTTTGCTGCTTTTGCTGCGTCCGGCGTGAACGTAGCATAACTTTGAACGGCGGGTTCACACCAACGTGGAGCGGTTGAAGTTCCTTTGTCAGACCTCCCGGAATAACAGCGAGCACAGCGTTCATTTGTTTCACCATGTTTTTCACATCGGCTGTGAGATGGGCACGCATGGAGTCACAGATTAACAGCGATGGTGATGCATGGAAAAAAACACCTGGTCTCCTTACATTCACCTCCCTCAGCCACTCTTTCATCACCTCCTCAATGAGGAGATGAGGAGTTCTGCATAAAGCACATACCTGTTCTTTTATACACAATCCACGCCCACACTTCACCCTTTAACGTTCTCATGGTGGTCTCAACAACGTCCGCAGTAACAACACACATAGGGCGCACCGCACTATAGGGCGCGCCGCACAGTTTGAGGGGAAAAAAAGACGTTTATATGCGCCTTACAGTCGTGAAAATACGGTAATGCAAAGTGAATCCAGTAGAACTTTTTATTGCCTACCTGGAATGGGTGACAATAGTTGAAGAAACTTTAGCCTCTCTCTGGTATCGGTGCCCTATTGGTTGGGACTCACAGATAGCACCATTTTAGTGCTGGATCGCCCCGCCCCATACTGGTATCGGTGCAACACTACTTAAAAATGTCAAATAATGAGGTACTATCTATGTTACTGGGATTTTATGTGACAGAGAAACACAGCTTGGTGCATATGTTTGAAAAATGTATCAGTTTACAACAGTTCTCACAAATATAATCTGCAACATAGGGCACATGTTTGGATTTATCCCTCTTGACTCAATTATTTGAAACCTCCAGGTCGAAACAGATAATCAGATTAATTTCAAAACTGATCATTAACTGGAATATACCAACTAACACAGAGTTAGCTGAAAGAACAACCAACCCCCAGCAGTAATTAAACTAAATTAAATTAAAAATATGTACAAAAAACATTTGGCATTTAAGACTTAAAAACATTTTTTTTGACTATGCTCTACCCAGAACTCCTTAAATGGCATAGTCAGCTTCACCAGGTTGAATGTGGCATACAATGTTCTTGAAGGAACCGTTAAATATCCAATTATTTCAGCAACATTTAAAGCTCAGATTGGATGGAGACCTTTTAGGAACATTAGTAGACTTTGACTAGGCCTTTCCAACATCTGTTAGTTCAATCTCTAACGTTCTGCTCTCTCTGCTTTTTCTCATAGTAGCTTCATCTGGTCTGTTCCTGTTTGGCTGTGACTCCATCCTGGAGAGAAATATCAGCTGTGCTGCTGCCATCAACACCTTTGATTCTAGATGTTGGAGCTTGGCCTGTTTTCCAGTGTAGTCCTGTTTCTCTGACTGTGACTAACTGGATGTGCTCTCTTCATCCTCTGACATGGGAGCTGGCTCGGAGCTCGTCTGCCTGGCTGTGTGTTTCCTGGACGGGGCCGCCTGTGGAGCTGGTTGACAGTTGCCTTTTGTATCTATGCTTCTTTTTCTATGTCTGCTTCTGTCTCCTTGAACCCCAGTGGGCCTCAGCAGATGGCCGCTCACACTGAGCCTGGTTCTGCTGGAGGTTTCTTCCTGTTCAAAGGGAGTTTTTCCTCTCCACTGTCACTACAAGCATGCTTAAGGTCTGCTTATCCTCCCGCAGCAGTGTGTCTCAGTGAGCTTGTCGCAGATATTTTTGATTTATGCTCAATATTAAAGCGTGGTCTGCGCTATGTTATTCCACCCCAGAACGCAAGAGGGCCAGTCAGGAACTAGCTGTGGGTCTAGATACGGCCCATTGGAACAGCCCTTTAAAGTCCCTACGACTTTAAATATGAAATGATTCCATCCTGTTCAATAAATGATCAGTGTTTTTAATTCAGAGTAATTTTCATGTGAATGTGCTTTACTGGAGGCATCCATGTTTGTCAAAGAACACTACTGCCACCTACTGGTTAGTGACATTGTCACGGTGCGGTATCGGCTGTTGATCAAGTCCCAGTGCTGTAGCTGGTGTTTGTCACAACGCGCTATTATCCAAGTCATCTTGAAAACATTCTTCTTCCAAATGTTGGCTACATATTACGGGGTTTTTCTCTGGCCAGAAGTTCGATGGCAAATCCTCCCTCTTCAAGTTGGCGATCCAACGACCAACCCGTCCGTGGAGGATCAGGAATCAGAAAGGTGGAATAACTCTTTTTTTCACTTTTACCCGATGTATTCCAGCATCCAGCTGCCATGCACGTGGGCATTGTCAGTTTCACTATAGCTCTGGTGAATTTCAATGGTGAAGTCCTCTGGAAATCTTCAATAATTGTTGTTGATTGCAGATGTGTCTAGTAGTTCCCATTGATTTAGCTTGTAAAGCGGGGAGAATGGCGCTAGGCTAACCGCACCGTGACGTCACTGCTGGAAGATGGCTGGAGGGAGGGGCTACTAGATTTGGGCAAAAATGGCCGCTCCCAGACTCAGTGATAAGCGATGAAAATCATAGTTTTTGTTTGTTTTTTTTACTGATTAATATTAAATCAATTAAATAATGGAGAACGTATTAATTTTAGGTATAAATAATGATCCATTGGTTATTCCTTGCTGACCGGACTTTTCCTTTAAGGAGCAGGATTAAGTCGGTTCTGTTTAGGCCTCTGATTTTTTTTATTGCACTCACGTGATTTGGGATGTCCAGGTTGTTGTTGGGCAGCCGGACGCAGTTTCTGCACATCTTGTTGACCAGATCTTCCCTCATGATGACGATTTCTTGGCTGCAGTATTGAATCCTGACCAGACAGCGCTCTCAGTCACTCTAACAGTCATTTCATGCAAACAAACCATCTGAGACCACACGCCTGAATGAGTTTTTACCTGCAGGGGTTGGTTGTGAACACGGAGCACGGCACCCTCTGTTGGAAGTCTTCTGTGATGTGATCTGCCAACGGAGGCCTAGGAGGAAAACGTTTCTCCTCAGTTACTTCAAGCTGAGAGGAGCAGAGGTAATCTGATGTTTCTGAAGGCTTACCGGGGCAGGATGGTGCCTGGACCGGGGTCCTCGGGCCCGGGAACAAACACAAAGCGACTGCTACAGGTTCAGACAAACAGGTTTGAGTTCAACACCCGGTGTATGGAGACGTCAGGATCAGAGGGAAATCTGCACGCTCCTACCTGCTGTGAATGCTGGGATATGCGCAGATGATGTCAGCGAGGGACTTCAGGGATTCTAGGAAAACAAAACGACTTTAAACTGAGTGAATGTACTTGATTTTTGTCTGTGATGCAGGGTGCATGGGTGGTGTAGTCGTTAGGGCATAGAGCTTGGAATCCTGAGGTTCTGAGTTTGAGCCACAATCCCTCAGACCTCCGCTCTGGGTCCCTGAGCGAACAGCATTAACCCCCCAATTGCTCCCCGAGCGCCCCACGATGGCAGCCCACTGTTCCCCAAGGTGATGGGTTAAATGCAGAGGTACATTTCTCCAATATGAGATCAATAAAGTTCAATTATAATAATTATCTAAACACCTCAGATCTGAGGGGGATTTCAGAAAACTCGCTCAGAAAAGCCAAACATGGTTGAAAATTCAGACTCAAATCAAAAACAATCTGTCAAAGCGTGAAAAGTGGGTTCCATCAAAGAGACGGTGTTCTGTCAGAAGAGCTTAGCCAGTTAGACCAGCATACCCATAATAAATACCCGTTATTTCTTTAGTTTTATACAAAAAATGCACTTTAAACTACCTCACGTAGTTGACTGAGGTTCCTCATATCTCCGTTTTCTTTAAATCAAAGTTTGGTGAATTCTGCAGGAATGCTAACCTGACTCCACCAGATGGATTTGCTCCGCATATCCATCTGGAAACCTTCCATTGAAGTAATTTTGGGAAGGGGCGAAAATACTGGTTAGCTGATTGGCCTATGTTGGTGATAGACGGGCCAAATAAACCAATCAGATCAACGAAGCACATGACGTACTAACAGAGCGACGACGAAAACACAACCACAAGCCAGGCTACTTTTGCCGAAACCATTCGGGAGAAGATGCAAAAACATCTTTTCCTCTGAGAAAAGCCTCCAGAGCAGTGTTTTGCTCTTCTTTCAGTGAAGAAATACTCTGTAATTCCGATAAAACTTGCTCGATAGCCACGCGAACGCTAGTTTCATCGGCTGAAGCCGCCATGTTCTTTAGACTGAACCGTCGCGCTTCTCGTTGCGTCACACCTCCAGACTGATCTGCGAGTGAAACCTTGAAAGTTCGCGAGATCAGGATAGTCTCACGAGGCTCCATGATGACACCAAAGATAGAATAAATACACGAAGATTCAGCCACACCAGAATGTTTTACCTCTGAGGGATTTAATCTGAGTTTTCCCGTATGGAGCAGAAGAAAAGTTTCCACAAAAGATGAAGCAGGTGGGAGGCAGAGCGGCGTATCCTGTTAGAGGAAGAAGGAAACGATGAGGCTAAAGTCCTGCAGCGCCTTGTAAAAAAAAACAAAAGAAGCTGCAAAATCGGACCTGAGAACATGACGTTAAGCTTCTCCATCACCTCCACGCTGTCCAGCCACAGGTCGGAGACAATTACAAACATGGCGTCTTCGTTCTCCTCCTCCAGCTGCTTCAGCTTGGAGGACATCTTCACCGAGGTGGTGGACGGACCGCCGAAGAAGTTGATGTTTCCGTAGTACGCCCTGAATGATAAACAGTGATACCAGAATGTAATCATGTAATCTTTTCCAGACTCTGAACGTTCTGAATGTTTTATGCCTGCAGATTCTTTTGTTTATCCCTACTGATATAAACTGGGTGGTTGATAAAGGAACATTTTAATCCAAATTTTCGATGTAATAAAAGTTCAGACCTGGTAGCTGAGGACGGCTCTGTTGGAGGGAATCCAAAGCCGTTGACGTGGAACACGCCATCTTCATACCAACCTGCAATATGGAGGAACAGACAGAAAAGGACAATCTGACTTTTTTATGCAATTTTTTTCCTTTTCAAGAAAAATAAAATGCAGGATTAAGTTTTCAGCCTTCAGTGAGAAACACTAAACTAGCGACCCCCGCCTGAAGTTTACTTCCACCCATCATCAGCATTAATTACATGTTAATTGTGTCCGCACCTTGAAAAGTAGTGATCATCCATGGTCACTGGACAAGCAGATATATTCCAAGAATGCTTTGCGAGAGCTCTATTTGCAAAGCATCATGGGATTTGTTGTGACAGCAAATAATAAAGATGGCGCAGGCACCGTGTGAGGACGCAGAGTCCCGTGACCAATGGTGAGCGAAAACTAGTGATCATCTGTCCGAATGGTCAGTTAACTAAATAATCTCTGCTCTATACTAGGGGTGTAAATAATAATCGTTTTGTATCGATGCATCGATCCAACAGCCGACGATCCGATGCATCGACACGTCCGCAAGAGAATCAATTCATGTTTTTTTTTCCTTCGGTCTATTTTTATCCATTTGCTCCTGGGCGTAATTCTCCTCCCGTGCTGCGGTGGCGCTAAAGCTATTTTGCTCTCCTACCTCGCTTCCTGGTTATACTCCTGCAGCAGTGTGTTGCAGTGAGCTTGATGCAGACATTTTTAAATTATGCTCAATATTGAAGCGTGGTCTGTGCAACACACTGTGGGTCTAGATACGGCCGAGGCGGCGAGGAAGTGGGGGTGAGTTTAGTCCGACGACGGAGGGACATGAGGGCCAAAAAGAGCGGAGATCCAGGTGGAAAAAGGGTCCCAGCGTTCTCGCGCACCTCGCTCTTCTAGCGGGTCAAACTTCACGAGTTGTTTTCCGCAATTTCGGTCATAAAAACAAAACAAGCCGGCCTCCTGTCTGCGGCACTGTCTGCGGTCAGCTACAATTTGGGAGAGGAGCAGCGGAGCGTCTGTGGAGGGGGGGGGGACGTCTGGATCCGAGGTATTGCATTGCACTCATTGCACTGATTTTCTGCAGTATTTTTTGATGCAACTTTTCTACTTCTGTTATCTGCTGTTGTTTCTAAAAAAAAATGCATAACGATATTACAGCTTTCATTGATTTATTTCAAACTTGAAACTTTGTTTAGCCTGTAAGGTGCAAAAAAAATAATAAAATAAATAAAAAAATTAACAAATTAATGGAATCGCATTGTGGTGTATTCTTGAGTATCGAAAATAATCGAATCGTTGGGTCAGGAAATCAATCCTGAGTCGAATCGCCATGATGGATGTGATTTACACCCCTACTCTATATAGTGATGGAGGGATTTCGTGCGAAGTTTTAACACAGCCAGTGTTTAGAAATCTGGACATCAAGTTCTCTCCTGACGGCCTTTTGGTTGCTGACTGAACTTCCTGTTTACAGCGTTAAAAGAATCGTTTCATAAACATGATTTCCAGGTGTTTACCTTCTGCCAGCACGAAGCAGGACTCTGTGTAAAGACCGTTATGAAACTGGTGAAACTGGAGCTAAGGAAGCAGAATTTTTTTAAAATCATGTGACGCTTCATATGTTAAACTGGAAAGGATATTGCTTTGGACATGTCCAGCTGTACTGTCCCAGTCGGGTCCTCCAGATAAAATTTACCCTAAAAAAAAAAATGAAAAGAGAAATCAAACCTGGTTCCATTTATGCTTTAGCATTTTTAACTGATTTATTTATTGTGTTCATCAACTTTCATCATTTCTAAAAAGGAGCTGAGAAAACGAGGCCTCACCTCTTTCAGTTGCGTGATCATTCCCAGAACGATCACCTCTCCCAGTTTCGCTGTGCTGCCTAGCAACGCCTCCACCGTCCTCAGCTGTGGAAAACAACCCGTCCATCTCAAGTTAAAACTGTTCTCCCGCCTCCAGCCCCCCCGCATTCATTCAGATTCTCTACCTGAAATTTGTTTTGACCTTCGTCCGCGGCGGCTCCGATGGCCGGCGGGGTGAACAGCTCATGGCGATGCGTGCGCTTAAAAAGAAACCAGAAAAGGTCTCTTCATGTAAACGTGACGCCAGGCAGCAGCATTATTAGCAGGACTGAGGCGTTACCCACCTGCTGCAAGATTGTGTAACGCTCCCTGAAAAGTTCAGCTTTATCTTTGGCCAAACCGCACAGACTGGGGGCCGGGTGGCTCGTCATGCTGATGCTGCACAGCGGCCAGTAGAAGAACGGGGTTTTTTATTTGCTTATAGCAGCGAGATGAAACCAGCTGAGGGGAAAACGTTACTCACGGTACAAACTTCTTCCTCTCCACACTGTAAATATATCTGGGTACGTCGAAAGCTCCGATGATGTTGAAGACGTTATCTCTAGAGGAAGAAGGCGGATCATGTGAGCTCATAACTGTTAACTTAAAGACTTTTTCCAGCGACAAAGCCAGACGTTTACATCGACTAATTGTTGCAGTTATCGGACAGTAAATCAGGGTTTCTGATGGTTTACTGGGACGCTTCTTCTGGAACAAGTTAGAAAAAACTGCACTGATTTTAATAAACAAGATGAATTTTAAGTGAATAATCTGCCTCATTCTGATTGGTCAAATCTACATCCGCTCTACTCTATGAGTATTTCCTGTTTGGTTCCTTAGCGGCTTGTTTTGTTTGTATGACCGCCATTGTGGAAAACGACTGGTGAAGATGGAGCATCTAGAAGAGCGAGGTGCGTGAGAAGGCTGGGATCCTTTTTCCACCTGGATCTCCGCTGTTTTTGGCCCTCATGTCCCTCCGTTGTCGGACTAAACTAGCCCCCACTTCCTCGCCGCCTCGGCCGTATCTAGACCCACAGCTAGTTCCTGATTGGCCCTCTGGCGTTGTGCCGTGGAATAACACAGTGCAGACCACGCTTCAATATTGAGCAAAAATGTCTGCGCCATACCTGTGACAAGCTCACAGCGACACACTGCTGAGGGAGGATAACCTTCAGCCCTTTAGTTGTCCTCGACTGCTTTTCTGGTAGTTCCTTAGTAGGGGTGTAAATAATAATGGTTTTGTATCGATGCATCGATCCAACAGCCGACGATCCGATGCATCGACACGTCCGCAAGATAATCGATTCATGTTTTTTTTTCTTGGGTCTATTTTTATCCATTTGCTCCTGGGTGTAATTCTCCTCCCGTGCTGCGGTGGCGCTAAACCTATTTTGCCGTCCTACCTCGCTTCCTGGTTATACTGTGTTGCAGTGAGCTTGACACAGACATTTTTAAATTATGCTCAATATTGAAGCGTGGTCTGTGCTACACGCTGTGGGTCTAGATACGGCCGAGGCGGCGAGGAAGTGGGGGCGAGTTTAGTCCGACAACGGAGGGACATGAGGGCCAAAAAGAGCGGAGCTCCAGGTGGAAAAAGGGTCCCAGCGTTCTCGCGCACCTCGCTCTTCTAGCGGGTCAAACTTCACGAGTTGTTTTCCGCAATTTGGGTCATAAAAACAAACCAAGCCTCCTGTCTGTGGTCAGCTACAATCTGGGAGAGGAGCAGCGGAGCGTCTGTGGAGGGGGCAGGGCGTCTGGAGCCGAGGTATTGCATTGCACTCATTGCACTGATTATGTGCAGTATTTTTTAAGGCAACTTTTCTACTTCTGTTATTTGCTGTTGTTTCTAAAAAAAAAAAAATGCATAACGATATTACAGCTTTCGTTGATTTATTTCAAACTTGAAACTTTGTTTAGCCTGTAAGGTGTAAAAAAAAAAAAAAAAAAAAAAAAATTTACTGATTAATCGAATCGTGGTGTATTCTTGAGTATCTAAAATAATCGAATCGTTGGGTCAGGAAATTGATACTGAATCGAATCGCCATGATGGATGTGATTTACACCCCTATTCCTTAGTGCTGCCTGCAGATGGTGCCACGTCTGTTTATGTCAGCTTGTTACACCCGGTTTCTGAAATTCTATTGATGCTCAAAAGGACCAGGATGGACGCTTGGTGTATAAAGGTTTATTTGATCAGGATCAGATGGCTTTTGCTCTTTTTTGTTCATAGGAACATAACATGACTTTAAACAGAAGCAGAGTATTTTTATCAGCCTTTTATACCAGAAATCTTGATGCAGGGCAACATATTGTGACATTTTTTAATGGCCGATAACAAATCGATTTCCATTATAATCAGACCGGGACGTCCGTAGAATGAACCAATGACTCGGCTTATATCGCAAATATTGGACCAGGTCGATAAAAAAATGGTCCTAAAATAATCAGCTGGGAGATTTAATTGATCTAATGCTGTTTATTACCATGAACAGGAACATTAATCCAACCAATCAGTGTTTTTCTCAGTTCCAGGGGAGTTTATGTTGAGTTCTGACCCTGTCTGGATTAGAGAAGTTCTAGCTTCTATAATCTGTGCATCCAAAGAACAAACCTGATAACACCCAGCGTGCATATATGTAAACGTCTGACTATTATAAGGATAGAAAATATATGTATAAATTAAAGTTACATGAAAATCAACATAAATATTCTGGTTAAATTAATACGGAACCAAACTGTAGGTCCAACTACAGGAAATCCGGACTCACATAGTTTCATCGCAGGCCTGAGTGCAGTCCTGCACGGCACTTTCCACCACAGAGAGCTCGATCATACTGGAAGACACTGGAAGAAGACACCTCATGGTCACCACCAACAAACACATCAGCATAATGGTCATCAGACCGTCCCAGCTTACATGGCTGCTTCTCCACTGCGTCCAGGATCCTTTCCACAACATCATCGAGTTCGGAGGAGTCCACCGACTCCAACGCCTCCACCAGGTACCTGCTGGCTTCACTGAAGGACAAACAACAGAATTAGGAGAGAAGGGTGTCCTCACGTTCTCTGTTTGTTAGACGAGATAAAAGGAACGAGGTTTAAGTAAAAAAAAGGTTAAGCAGCGACCTTCATCTCAGTGCTGATTCTGGTATCTCTCATCTATTCCATAGTTTCTAAAGTTTATCAGCAGAGCCGTGAAAAGCTCTAAACTCTCCTAGTAAACGGCCGCATTAATTCGTCCTAATAAATCCCAGTGGATGATATGGCTCCTCAGATCTAGAAATGAATGCCTACTTTATTTGTATCTGAAAAGAGGACTTAAGAATAGAGTAGAAAATCCCTTTATTCTCCACCAATGGGGAAATTCTGGTGTTTACAGCAGCAAAAAGATTATAGAAAAAAATGTCACTAAAAATTGACCTGAATGTTTAATAACATAATAGTCAATCGGCTGCCTATTTAGCCTTCCCTGGATATGTCTTTCCAAATTATTATTTTCATTATTTGACAAATTCTTGTGCCAAAGCAAAAATACAGGCAATCCTTTTGGTCCATTCTTCCTTGAATCCTCTGTTCTCATCAGCTTTCTTCCTTTTTTCCCCTTTGGGATCCATGGTCCAAGGCACATCTGCAGCTTTCTTTACCTGCACTGCGCCACGCCGAGACACACGCTGCAGGCTTTGACCACCGATCTCTATGGCTATGACACAAATTATTCTTTAGATGTATTTATTATAAAAATGTTTACAGCTTTGGAAAACATAATGACCTCCTGCACACCACATTAAAATAAACAAACCAAAAAACATCTATTTTTCATAAAGTTTTGAAAAAGCTCCAGGGAGCCGCTAAAGAGCCGTGGGTTGCCGACCCCTGCCTTAGCCCAGGGAAAAAGTTTCCAACATGATTTATGTCCTGAGGGTTTGGATCGGATTTACAAAAGATTGTTACTGTTGTCCTGGAAACGTCTGGATGTGGCGTTTCATGGAGCTCCGACTCCACGTTCAGTTCTTCCCTTACAAAGCTTGAGTAACTCTTCCTGGAAGTTTTTCCTTCCACTAACCTTTCCATCTGCATGCATTGTTAAACACATTGATCATTAGCTTTAAAACATTTGGAAAATTTTCAAAGCATACATAGAAACCTTTTCTTGGCCACAGAACCAGAAGGTTGCTGTTTAACCCCCTTTTGTAAATATAAACAAAACTTTACAACATTGGGTGATTTATAACAACACTAAAATCACAAAGAAACTTTATCCAGGTAACTAGAAATAAACGAACACAATAATGTAAAACAATAACCCTTACTATTCAAAATATATGTTCTTTTTTATGTTTTCAGGACTTCTGCCTTGAATTAGCATAAACATCTAATAGCCTAGCATTGACCTGTCAGTGAGTAATACTGTCCAAAGTGGAAAAGTCATGTTTAAAAAAATAAAAATTGTAAATAATAATAATGGGTCAGAAATAAAAAGCTGTAATAAATCACCCATTGCGTCTCTAATGAATGGATAACATTGACGAGTTTCACATTTGATCCTGCATGACTGAAGCTCAACTCAACAACAAACAAACGAAAAGCGTTTGGAAAATATTTCTTTATGCCTAAAGACAAAGAGAAAACAAATAAAAATACATACGGTCGAAGAATTAAGCTTCTCATCTTGAAACCGGCGGAAACTTTAGTCTTTATTTTGCGAGAAGCATCCATTTTTCCACCTCTTACAGCTCAACTTTGGCGCTAAATACCAACTTCCGCACACATTACGTCACTTCCTCTAAAACAACCGATACCAAAATAAAAGTGAACTAAATATGCGCCTAACAGACAGGAGATAAAAATAAAGAATATTAGTTTATATGCTGAATTTAATCAAATCTCTTACGTTAGTTTGGGTTTTTTTCTTTTTTTTAATATATATATATATTTTTTTAAATCTAATTTAGTTGGTTTTAACTTGTTTTCTGAATGGGTTTGTTAGTTTTTAATTATCATTTTTAATAATTCTTAGTTTAGTTTGTATTTGTTTGATTGCTAGTTTTATTCTCTTAAAAAGTCGGCAGAATTTTAGGTCCAGGATTCAAATAAATCTTGCATTTATAAAATTATTTGGATAACTTTAGTTGGTTTTAATTAGCTTCATAAATGTACACTTTTAGTAGGTTAGTTTTAGCCTTTTAATTACAGTTTATATTAATTTAGTTTAAGAAAATGTTCCCTAAAGTTCTGCTTTTGTTTTTTTCTAGGTTTGGTTAACCTTAATGACCGTCTCTTCTTCTGTACATGTGGATATTTTGTCATCTATTTCTGCCCTCCTTCTTTTTATTGAATATTAGTTTTAGTTTAGTTTAGTTTTGATTTGTTTTAGTATTAGTTTTACTTTCATAATTTTGGTTATATTTCAGGTTCACGGTTCAAAAAGCTCAGAGAATTGTATTTATTAAATTATGTGTAATAAAGTAATGACACAAGATATCATTTATAACTCAATCAGCAAAAAAGCTTTAATATTAAAAAAAATCTGGCATAGTAAATGAAAAGCTGTGAAACAAATTCAAAATTTGAATATGATGAGATGATGAAATCTAAGTTTAGAGAAATCACAGAAGTTGAAACTACTTCAATACAAATGGCAAATGCAAACTTTGACAACTTTTATTGTCATTTTGTATACGCAGAGTGAACACTAAAGGAATTTTGTTTACTACAGCTTTCCAAACAGTAACAGAACATTTATACTCCATAAAGTGCAGCAGTGATTGTAAACATTGTGGGAGAAAAAACATGGTGTAAAAAAAAATCATTGATATGGAAGTTCAGAGCATTAGATATATATGGTGCAAATCTGCAGTCTGTTGGTTTGGAGCTGTCAGTTTGATGCAGAGTCAGTGATTTAGAGTTTTTTCAACATTCATCAGTGTGATGGCGGTGGGGAAGAAGCTGCTGCAGAACCTGCTGGTCCTGCATTGAATGCTGGGAAGCCTCTTCCCAGAGGGCAGCAGGGAGAACAGTCCATAGTGGGGGGGTGAGGGGTCACTGATGATGTCACGGGCTCGGGACACGCAGCGCTGGGATGAAATGTCTTTAATGGAGGGAAGAGGAGCCCCCATGATCCTCTCTGCTGTTCTCACCTTCTTCCAGTCTGAGGCGCTGCAGCCTCCACACCACACAGTGAGACAGCTGCTCAGAACGCTCTCTATGGTGCTTCTGGAGAAGCACCATAGAGAAGAACATGCGGTTTTATGTGTCTGGTGAAATTGAACACATAGAATACCAGATACTTATTTTAATAGCTTTAGAGACTTGTTCATTCCTTGTGTTTGGATATGTGATATAATGAATGATTTCTGGAAGAAAGTCATCCAAAAAAGTTTAAAAGTCCTATCTATAAGCATGGCTTTAGACACAAGGGTGATGCTGTATGGCAATGAAGAAAATAACATACTCTCTTAAAAATAAATAAAATCAAATAAAAATAAACATAAAGTTTATGAAGACATTTTTAATCGCTTTATGGCTTTCATACAAAATAACTGATATCAGACATTATTTTGGTATCCATGTTGTTTGGGGTTTCAGTCAGTCACTGTGCCTCAAATACAGATACGGTGCTGCTCCGCACAGCAAAAGGGCTGTGCAATGAGGCTTTTCCCCTCATTGTTTTAGGCAACCATGTTTGTTTTTAAAAAATCAATACTAGGAAGTGAAAGATTGAGATTATATCGGGCAGGCGAATATCACAATATATCGCCAAAATGATTATTTCTAAAACCTCTACTGAGGGGCTTTTTCATCTGTTGAGTCCATCTGTTGAGCAAAAATATAAAACAAAAGACAAAAAAGGACACTTTAGTGCTATATTAAGTAGCTGCAATAACATAGCTGAATATTTAAGGTAAAATCCAATCTAAATCAATGCTGCCAAAAGTTCTTGAAACATTTCTTCTGCTCACGCATACCTAATCAATTCAGAGGCGAGCAAAGACAGGATGTCCACCCAGAGGGGTCAAGGTTTATACTGAAAAAGTTATCATAAGGAAATTATGTTTTTCCTTCAAAAGATAGATCTATAATATTGACTTGAGAGAGTTTAAATGCATTCAGAGAAAGATGACTCAGTAGGTTGTTTTTTTGTTTTTGCCTGCTGAACTTCAGATAATTTGTCTCGGCTCATGAAGATAGATAAGTTTCCTCTTTGACCCTCATTATGCAGCCTTCTGCTCTCCTCTGAACAATTTCAACTATGCAGAATTACAAGAATATGCATTTTCATACTTATATAACTGTATTATTACATAGCAATAAGAATTGTATTAAGAGTAAGTCAGTTTAACATCTTATTTCTATCGAATTCAACATGTTTACGTGTATTTCATGTATATTTTTAAGCAAACATAATGAAAATTTTTATTTATGTTGTATTTTATGCTGAAAGGAGAGACCCGGAAGTGTTGTTTTATTTTGTAGGAGTGTTTACACAGCTGACGGTTGAGGAGATGAACTCTTTGTAGCGGGTCTGAAAGCTGAATTTAAAAGCATGAAAATCAGAAACTCAACAGTTGGAGTCGGACTGTAATCCGTGAGTATGTTTAAAAAGGATCAATAATGGGTTTTAGCTGATAGCCGGAGGTATAATCAGACTGTAAGGAGATAATAAGCTTTCTGACATATGAATGTTGTAAGTCCTCGCCCTCTCGGCTGCTTTTAAGACATTTAAATGTATGTTTTTTATTGAAAAGACAATATTTTAATTGTTTTTTTGGTAGCTGACAGAGGACGGAGGATGGACCCCGCCTTTGAGCGGCACTGCTCGGAGCTTGTGGCCCGGGAAAGGAGCGGACACACGGCTGTGGTGCTGGACAGCCTGCTCTATGTGTGGGGGGGCTACATGGTGAGAAAGAAAAAAAAAACACAGTTATGTCACCAAAAGCAGCGCGTGTTCCTCACAACACACTGAAGCTGGTGTTGTTTTTATGTTTATCGTTTGTTTTTTTCTCTTCACCCCGTTTCGTGTCCGTTTTTACAGCCGGCTGCCGGCCGGGACGTTTTGCTCCAAACGTGCGCCGGCAGGGGCGGAGCTAGATGGGGGCCCAGGGGTGGCCATGGCCACCCTTATCCAATCATTGGCCACCCCTGTGGCCACCCCTACCATTTTTTCCTCTAATAGGGGGTTTTCAGGTGACGTCACGCTCACGTGACTACTCAGCGCGTCCGCCATATTGGGTGGCAGCCTTAGGCAGTATTGACAGTGAAAAATGGTGAAATCGTGTGTAATTGTTGGTTGCACGGCCGTGAAGGTGGAGAAAAACGCTCTTTCTATCGCATACCAGCCGTAATCGTGAATCAATGTGAAAAAACATAACAGCTATCTGAACAACGCCGTCACCTATGGCTGACACGGATATCCAGGTCCGATTTGGACGGTGTTAAGCTGGAATACGCCAGAGTCTGCAGTGCTCACTTTGTCACAGGTAATTAACTGTCAAGCATTTAAAACATGTAAGAATATGTTAATAATAGGGCTTGGGCGTCATGACGTATTACTTTCCGTGGCCGCAATGTTGACCGTCTCCGCCGCCGCTACTCAGACTACTGCCTATGACTACCGCGTACTGGACTCCCTCTCTCAGCCGTGTTTTAATTTGATTAATATCACCTTAACTTGATTTCAACCAGCGGGAAAAGGCTCAAATATGTGAGAAACCCGGAGGGTTTAGGGAGGTTTGGCAGTTAACGTTACTAACCACACCTTTGAAACACATAGCAGCTGGTTAAAAGTACATTACATGCCTGAGTGGTTGTTAGCACTAACGGTTAGCACTGTTTGCTGGCTTTATGAGCTGCAGCTCCTGAACCCATCCATTCGTAAACTGCACATGAGACTCCAAGGACGTGTAGCTTTGGAACTGTTCGCGCACCGCCGGCGTTAGCCACCTAGCATAGCGAGCCCTGCGTCGGATTGTTTACATTTTTACCATCTTATTAAAACTCACCCGTCCAGGTATGATGGCGATTTCCTTCATGTACATCACTTCGACATCTCGTACCCAACCAGATGTGAACTGGTTGTGAGCATCTAGACCCTTGCACGCTCTCATTCCCTCAAGAGTGTGCAGAGGGTTTTCACTGAACACCGGTCGATGAACTATGTCGCCATGCTCTACATTTGGCCAATCATCTGGATCAGTGCTAAACAAGGCACCGTGGAGGGCATATGGGTCCATATGGTCGATCATGGAACATTTTCTCAGATATGTTCCATGATCTGGTGGCTCTAGCGTGCTGGCGTACTTATCCATTCGCGACATGATATATATGATATACGATAATATGCCACCCAAGATGGCGGACCGGAAGCTGGCCAGTGACGTCACTGAAAACCCCCTATTCAGACATAGGCAGCATTGTTACTCTCAACTGGAATATTCAAAACGTTTTAATTTTTCATATATTAACAACTACTTGACAACAAAAACACTGCGGTTGATTGTACACATCAATAGACTAACATTAAAGATGATAAATACAGAATCAATGCTCTTTTCAAAAATAGATTTTGTTTTTTATGGGGTAAAGAAGAAATGATGCATCACCGCAAGTCATCCAGGAGTCTTCAGTGAAATCATAGATAAGTAACTGTTTTAATAAAAACTTAATAATAAATGTATGAAATATTAGTGGTTGTAAAGTAAGTAATGACAATGGAAAAGATGTTCACCCCAGAACTCAAACCTCAAATAATTTTATCCACTATACCTTTTGTTTAGAAAGCACGGATGTTTGGATATAGGCATCTATTTGTTAGCAAAGTGTGTGCGAAAGTATAGTTTGTCTTTATTTAGAAAATACGGATGTTTTGCTCGTTAATTTTCCTGCTGGAACAGGAAAATTAACTTTATATAATTGACTTTATAAAATTATAAAAACATTTCTGGCTATGCCTCTGGTGCCGGCAGGGGCGGAGCTAGATGGGGGGACATGGGTGTCCATAGCCAACCTTAGCCAATTATTGATCACCCTTATTGCCACCTCTAGGGTGTAACTTTGCAATAAAAGTTGGTGGAGACGCTCTAATGCTGCGTTCACACCTAAAGGCTGATTTATACTTCGAAACCAGGTCGTCTGCGTAGATGTCGCAGTGCACAAAAAGCCGTCCCCGCCCCCTCCGCAGACACTCCGCTGCACCACTCCCAAATTGCAGAAAACAACTTGTGAAGTTTGACCAGCTAGAACAGGGGTGGGCAAACTTTTTGACTTGCGGGCCAGAATGGGTTCTAAAATTTGACAGAAGGGCCGGGCCAGGAGCATTTGGACAAGCAATGTCATTAATTAAACCTGGGGATTGAAATGTATAAAAAAACAGACAATTTTCACGACCATAAGGCGCACCGTACTAAAAGGCGCAGTCTCAGTTATGTGTCCCATTTCTGTATTTAACACACACATAAGGCGCACCGGACTATAGGGTTTTCTTATATACAGGTACATGTCCTCTACTACGTTTAAATACCTCTACTGCCTATTTAAAAATAGAGCGGGAGCAAAACTGAGTATGATTGTGCTTTATTCATTTATTTATTACAAAGTATTAATCAAACCTACGTGCTGGCCTTGAGACAGACACATCGCTGATGACACAGAGCCCTGTGATCACTCCTAAATTAACTTAAAATTTTGAAACCTGCCGACGGAATATGTTCGCTTTTATTACCGGTATCCTGGTGCCTGCAGTTTAAATTTTTTAGATGAAAAACACATGCCAGCAGCCACGGTGAACCCGGAGGCTACCCAGCCTAGAGGCTGCTGTTGAAGGGATTCCTACTGCTGGTATGTGGGGGTCTGAGCGCCTCCGACAGAAATAGTATAGGCAGGATAATAATCTGGATGAACTGACTGCAATTATTAAGTTTTCAGGTGGACTTTCTCACTTAAAAACATATTAAAACTACTTTATTCCCACTGATCACATCAAATATAGCTGCAAGATTTAGATTATTTAGATGAAAAAACACCTGCCAGCCGCCGCGGTGAAACCGGAGGAGACCCGGCCCAGAGGCTGCTGTTGAATTAAGTTTTCAGTCAGAAAAATAGAGCGGGAGCAAAACTGAGTAGGATTGTTCTTTATTCATGTATTTATTACAAAGTATTAATCAAACCCATCAAAGTCATCATCCTCTGTTTCTGAATTAAACAGCTGCACTAAATCAGACATGCCAGTTTCCCCTTCTTCGCTATCAGAGTCACTTTCCGTGCAGCGCGGCTCCTCAGAAATAATGCATGCTTTTGCGAAAGCTTGAACAACAGTGCCAGCAGACGCGTTAGTCCAAGCATCAACAATCCATCCACAAACTGTGGTGTAACTTGCGCGGCGCTGCCTTCCACCTTTCGTGAAACTGTGGTCTCCGTCAGTCATCCATCGCTCCCACGCCGCTCGCAGCCTTACTTTGAACGGCCGGTGTATACCGATGTCGAGCGGTTGAAGTTTCTTTGTCAGACCGCCCGGGATAACGGCAAGCACAGCGTTCATTCAGTCACAGATTAACAGCGTTGGTCATGCGTGGAAAAAAACACCTGGTCTCCTTACATACACCTAACCTGACAACAGCCAGATGCATGTCTCACTCCGCCTAGCTCCGCTCACATACATCTGGGAACCCGCCATAGGAATTGCCTTTACTGAAGGCTGGGCCTTATCAAAACTCCTTGCATATGATTGGATAAGCCACTTGTCTGTCATCTTTATTGACGTGCTATTTCAACCACTCACACCGAAGCTAACCCGTGACGCTGTGAGAGGAGGAGCCATTTGGTAGGTCAAGCTCTTGCCAAATCCGGTCGGGAGAAGGGCGAAAACATCGTTTCCACCAACAAAAGCCTTCAAAGCCGTTCTCTGATGTTCTTTTAATTAAACAATATCAGATAGATTGGACAACATAGAAGAAATAGCAGCATCATTGCTAACGCTTGCTTCCTCAATGCGAGCCGCCATTGTTGTTGGAATCTCACGGTCGCTTCTCCACTCCAGGACACACCCACCCTGCGTCCTGATTGGACAGACCATAAATTCGGTTGGGGAAATCACTTTCAATGAGCGGGTTCCCAGATGTATGTGAGCGGAGCTGGGCGGAGCGAGACATGCATCTGGCTGTTGTCAGGTTAACATACACCTGCCTCAGCCACGCTTTCATCATCTCCTCATCCATCCAGCCTTTTTCATTTGCCGTAATATCATTTGTAGGGTTGGGAATTGAAAAGATTTTCACGATTCCGATTCCCTTTTCGATTCTATGAAACGATTCGATTCTTAATCGATTCTTTTTTCGATTCCAATTTGGGGGAAAAAGGAGAACAAACAGTTTGATTATCAGAATCAACTTTGTTTACTTAACTATTGCACAATCTTACAAACTCAAAAAGATCAAGATGTCCACAGGAAATGTGAAACTGGAGTAACATCTGTGTTTAAATGAAAAATGAATACAAGAACAAACTTAATAACCAACAATGTCTAATAACAAATGATGGGATAATAACCTATTTTAAATAACAAAAAATACTAATTATAAAACAGTAGTAGGGAAAATTAACAGTTCTTTTGCAGAAAGATGAGCATATCTGCTTTTTCTGGAAGGATACGGGATCTTTCAGCGCTTATGGTGTCTCCAGCCGTGGAGAACACCCTCTCAGATGGGGTGGAGGAAGCCTGCACACAGAGGTAGTTTTCAGCCAGTCCAGATAGCAAGGGCAGCGTATCTTGCTTGTTCCACCACCACAGTGTGGCGCTATCCCTGCAGGGGATGGAGGGCAAGCTTTTATAGAGCTGGATTTCCTGATCTACCCTCTGGGCTAAGGAAAGACGGGGCTTTGATTCACAAAGTGACCGCAGCACGT